TGTTGATGTCGTGCCGCAGGTCTTTGTACAGTCGCCAATCGCAGACCGACGGACATGTATCTATGGAGATTAATAAAAACTACACGGAAGTAGTATGCAAGTCTAACACGGATATGGTGACCAACAAGGACCAGAGCACGCAGACTAGAACAGCTAAAAGTACCGACAATTCCGTACAAACAAGTGTGTTGATGTCGTGCCGTAGGTATTTGTACAGTCGCCAATCGCAGACCGACGGACATGTATCAGGGATATCACAGTATTGCCAATGTGATTTAAAAACCGAAACAGATGATACGGGATTCGTGAAATTATCCCAACAGTTGACGGTTAAAAAAGATGTCAGATCGTATGAACAGAAGTTGGTGGACCAATTGACGAATGTTTTAAAAAAAAAAAATAAAATAAAAAACGAGAACGAATTGCTAAGGAAGAATTGTACCAAATATTTCGGTCACCGGAATACCACATGAAAAATTCCAAATAGTTGTTCAAGATGAAGTTCTTAGATAGTTGTTCTCAATAATCCGTTTGATGGGTTGTATTTTCACTCAAGTAACATTTACTACCAAATGTAAATAATTAATAAACATTGGGTGCGAATTCATGGAGTTACATCTGATACCCTTCCTGCTTCTTCATGTGTTCCTCTAGGGGGTCACCTTTCTCCACTACTCTTTTCGTTGGTTATTAATAGTTCTAACTTTGTTTTACAGCGCACGTACGCCATAGGTTGTATTATACATTTTTGTTTCTAAAAAGTAAAATTTATTTTGTTATATGTTTAGTTCATATGATTATTTGAATAAAATATTATTCATTATTCTTGAATAAAGAGTTATTCTTAGCTTGGCTATTTATTATTTAGTAAAATAATTATTTTGATTTGTGTAGAATTATTCAGTTGTGTATTTATTCATTATTCTTAAATAATTCATATATTCTACTAACCTGTCATTCTTAATACGGTTATTCATTATTCTCAGTTTTTATGATTTGTTTATAATCATTCTTTATTCATTATTGTGATTACATTTTCCCCAACTCTGGTCTCAATACATGTCCAATTCATTAATTTCTTCTTTTCTGGATACTACTCCATAGAGCTCTTCTCTCAGATATTCTTTCAGTACTTCCTCGTTTGTTACCATATCCGTCCAACTTATTTTTAGCATTCTTCTGTAGTACATCTCAAAAGCTTCTAATCTTTTCTGTTCCTCTTTGGCAATTGTCCACGTTTCGCTGCCATATACCATTATACTCCATACGAATGTCTTCAAAAGATTTATTATACAAAATAATAGTAAAGTAGTCGTAATTAACAGTAAATGTTCGTTTTGAATATTCAAAATTTCAATTTGTAGTAGTAAATTTTTCATTTCAACTGTATGTTTCTCCGCCATCATAACTAGTTCCTTATCATGTTTTTCTTTCATTAAATGCATTTTCATCTTGTACTGTTCAATAAAAGCAGACTGTTGTTGCTCACATAATGATTCTCGAGTTGATGCTTAGCTTGTAATTTTATCCTGGTATGCTTTTTGACGTTTTGTAACAGGACCATCTACACAAAATCATTATTATATTTTTTATTTAATCGTAAAAATATTCGTAATAACTAAGAATTATCTTTTTAAAACTAACTACTAAGCACAAGGATTTACTTTAAAATCAAAACATTCATAAATAATTTTAAATGCATACCAGAAGCTGAAGCTGTTAATGTTGACCTGGGTCTAAGGTCATCTGGAGTGTAGTTTGCCAGTTTCTTTTGAGAGTAGAAGAAGATGGTTTGTCACATCACATAATATATAGAATTTATAAGTTAACTGACGTAACTTTCCTACCACGTTATGTATGTGTAAATTCCAACGTAAATTATTATCAAATGTGATACCTAAATATCGCGTACTTGAGACTTGTATCTTATTTTTAATCATAATTATCATAACTATTTAGATTACTGTGGTCGTTTTTTACAGTTTTTTCTATGAGATTTGAGTCTATGAGTTTTGACTTATATATAATACACATTTCAGATAATATGACAGTGACTATTGTTAGATTCCGAGAGCGAAATAACTGAAGAACAATTTACTACATCTAATGTATCGTCTACTGTTTTAGTTCCCCTTGTACTAGGGTTACTTCTACATCTAATAATTATCATGTAAATAAGAAATATGCATTATCTTATGACACTGCATCTGCTGTAGCAAGACCTGTGTCCAAAAACCGTTATGAACTGATAACACAGGCAATGTGTAAAATGATATGTGTAGTTATTATGTCAATAAAAAACCTTTGAACACGATGGCTTTAAAATATTAATTAATATCTTAGAGCCGAATTATAAGATACCGTGGAGGAAAACAATTATAACATTATATTGGAAAATTTAGATAATTAAAGCTAAACTGTCAGTCGAGTCAGTAGGCTTAAGTGCAGACTGCCTGGACCTCTAGATGTATAGATTCCTATATAAGTAATTGGGCATTACTTTGATGATAAATGGAAATTAAATTCACTTAATATTTAACATTTTGAACTTATCCAGTCATACATATGAACATTTATCAGAATCTATCGAAACTACTACTGTTAATATCTGATTAAGGTTTGGAAAATAAAATTTCAGGAATTAGTCATGACAATTCTGCTAATATAAGTAATGCAGTCCAGTTGTTATCTTTAAGTCACATAATAAGTAATCCATGTGCAGCTTATACATTTCAATTGTCTATAAACAAAAGTTTAGATATATCTATATCCGATGTCTATAGTTTTTCTAATCATGATTTCAAACAAAATAAAGCATCCTGTTATATTTATCATTAGAGTCAAGCCAAGAAAGGGCCAGACAATGTATGCTCTTTTTTATGGGTTTATTTACAAAATATACCCAATAATATAACAGAAATTCATCTATACTCTGATAACTGTCCGGACAAAATAAAAATCATTCTATGGATAGATTTTTGCTTGTTTTAACTAAACAAAACGTTATAAAAGAAATGTTCACTTTTTCCCAATAAGAGGTCACAGGTTACAAGATTTACAGTATTCATCAGTTACAGAATTTATTATCTACAAGTAGTTCTACAAGAAAATTCACCGTAATTGAAATTAAATTTCCTGAAGATCAAATGTTAAATTTTGGGAAATTGTGGTCTAGTTTTATGAACGAAATTGTGTTTCACTTAAAACTAGACTATCGAAATGAAACGAGAAGCAAGATTTTTTCATTTCTACTTTTAGCCAGTTTATATATGACAGTAATTTGCCAGGATGCATTACAACTCTCCCTTTTTGTGGAGGTATTATAAAATACACTTTTCCATTTCACATATTAAGACGTCAAATTTTACAGATGAACTACCAAATGAAATATTATATCCAAACGAGAAAGTTTCTAATAAAAACTGCAGGACATTAAAAAACGTATGCCATATATTACTATATTACTCTACTTTGCATTAGTACGGTCAATTCTTGAGTTTGGGGTCGTGGTGTGGCACCCATACCTTGCAAAACACCAGCATAAGCTAGAACAGGTGCAAAACCGCTTGCTAACCTACTTAGCATTCGTGAGTAAAACTGATGTACCTCCCTACGACTATGTCCGATTGCGTAAGTTGTTTTACATCCCATCTCTCTCTTCTCGCCGCGCGTATGATGAACACTCTTTAGATTCCCTTCTAAATGGTACCTTAGATGCTCCCAATTAACTTGCTGGAATTCCATTCAAGGTTCCTACAAGGGGAATACGAAACCCAGTCCAGTTTTATATCCCGCTCCACTCTTCTGTCTATGGCTGCAATCATCCACTACATAGAATGCTCCGAGTGAGTAGTTTAAATGTGCCTTAGTTGGTTTAGCTGCGTTCTCCGACTAACTGTATCACTTGTACGTGTTTATAATTATTGTTTTTCTTATTGTTATACTATAGCTGTTATTATTTACTTAGTATGATTGTCACTGTACATGTATTCTTGCTAACTGCTGATTGGCGTGAAATATATATATATAAAATATATATATATAAATATATATATATATAAAATATAAATATAAATAAATAAATATTAATAAGAAATACAAACAATTTTACAATGGCCTGTGATGACTAGTTTTTATTTATCTTTTTATTTTGATAGAGTATTCTAAAATATATTATCTTTTATATTTTGTTCTTAATTTTATTGTTCAAAGACTGACAAAACCAAAGTGCTGTTATTTTTTTTAGTGTTAATTGTTAAAATATTAGAATTTTTTAAGTTTAACAAAACATTGTACTTCATCTTTAATTATATTATATTGTGTCTCATTACATTATAGAAATTATGATCTTAATATTTTATTATATTAATTACGATAATAATTTGTTAATCAAAGACTGATTCAACAAACTTACATAAGGTTTTTTTTTAGCCTTGACTGTTTGAGGCTTTATTCCCCAATATATGGATTTCATTTAGATTTTTATTGACGATACCAGTGTCTGTTGCAAGTGGAGAAAAAAGCTTCTCTAAATTCAAATTATTAAAAACCTACCTAAGGTCAACCACAGCACAACATACCTTAACATCCTTAACTACACTAAGTATTGAAAATCCTATTGCATAAAATTCTGACTTCTAAGAATTGATTAAAGTATTTGCAGATAAAAAAGCGGTAAAAGTGAATTTTTATTAGCTCTTAATATTTTTTAATTTAGTACCTCTATAACGAAGTATAAAATTAACAAAATAATTAGGAACTTTTTTAAATTTTAAACACAGTTCATCTACATAAGCGTATTACTGGCCACCTGTTATCAACAAAATATTATTTAAAGTTTGTTTCGGTTATGTCGTTGGTTTTACTATGACTCCCGAGTAACGAAAACAACACAAGTACATTTCAGTTTCTAAATAGTTTTTAATTTTGTTTTTGTGTTGTCATTTTATTTACTTTTCCATTGTATTTAATTCAGTGTCATTGTCATTGTCCGATATACAATGTTTAGCGACCGGTTCCAGGGAAAATTAATGACAGTGTTTTATAGTGTTGGCAGTAAGCCTTTGGCAATTTGGAAAATAGAAGTTGGTTTATAATTACTCGCCGCTTTTTTAAAATTATTTTTAATGGTTTCTTCTATTTATCTAATCATAATTTCTTGTCAGTCGAAAGAAGGCGATATCAGAACCGTCCAAGACGAACATCTCAAATCAAACGTTCTACAAATATTGTCTAATAATGTTACCACATGTTCTATAAGCACACCACCTGATTCTGCCGCTTCCCTAGGTATTCGTTTACCATTTATAGTGTTGCTTATGAAAAACCTCAACAGATACTTTACGTTTGAAATAACGGTAAGACTAAAACATAATGTAAAGCCATATAAAAAAACATTTATATTTTCTATAATCTTTTTACTAACAACCTTGCTTTATATCATACCTATGTGATTCGGCGTGCCTCAAATAAGTCACTTGGAGTTTCCCTCTATTTGACGGCGGTATAAAGATCATTATAATAATCAACTTGATGTTTTTAACTTCAACTTAGACGCTATTGGATTTACAATGATCTGAGCTTTTTATTTAGTTTGTACCTGCTGTAACTTTTTTTTATACTGGTCTAAAATCTCTAAGTTGTATCACAAAGAAATCACAATTTTTATATATATTGTACCCGGAGGGAGTATAAGTTGAAAAAATCAATTTCTTCACCCTTTAAATAAGTAAAAACTTTACGAATTTTCAATTTTGATTAAGTATAATTTCGAGAAAAATGGTCGGCTCAAGTTTATAAGAAATATTTATTTGTTGTGCCTATACGGCAATAGCCTCAAATTAAAATCATGACTATTTCCTACTCCCCTCATGTATTTAAAATTTTTAACCGGCTTGTTTGTTGTAAATATGAATTGTACACAGACGAGTAAAAGAGGTCTGTTAGGTAGGTAAACCTTAACAATGGTTTATTTTATTTACCACTTCTCCAATTCCTTTATTCTCCAGCTACACTTACCCTGAATTTTGAATTTGAATATTAAATTTATATAACTATGTTTACTACTTGCTTTTAAATCGCTTAGGTTTTGGATAACGTTAACGTCCGCCGCCGTTTCCGAGTCAGCAACTACCAGTCTGCCACCAGAGTGAGCATGTATATGTGCACTATGCCTCTGTGTCTCAACAACGATTGGAACCAAATACAGTTCAACTTGGCCAACTTCACTGAGCGCACGTTTAACACCACGTACGTGGAGACCGTTCGGATTCAGGTGCACGCCAACTGTAGGGTGCGAAGGATATACTTTTGCAATCAGCTGTATCCGGATGAACAACTGCCGTTCGATTACAGGATGTTCAGTACTAAACCCCTCCGAGAAAAACCAAAAAGCATGTTAGTGAAAAAAGTTAAAAAAGTCAAGTCCTAAACCTGTTTTAAACATTCACTTTTGACAGCGTTAGTACAGTTGTATATCAACAAATGTTCTAATTCATATATTTGTTTGTGTTTCATTTTTTAAAGAAAGCACACAACCAGGAAAATTACATTTAAATCCTACATTTCTTAAGGGAAATCTAATATATAGTTAATTAGTCGTTAACGACTAAGAAATTTGTTTCTAACTACCACTCTCTTACCATTACTTAAGTTCTCCAACAATCTTCCTCCTGTACAATTTTTATTTATGATCCTTCTCTATGTCACGTAAACATAGCTTGGTTATTCTTCTGACACTTTTTTTATTGGCCTTAAATAACTATCTGTTTTCCTATAAACAATGATTACTACACCATTATCGTCATTTAAATGTGTTATATCATGCCAAATTTTCTTACTTAAGCCTGAGTTCCAGCAATTCCAATGTATTTTTTGTTTTTGTCTAACACACATCTAAACTCCTATGTTGTATGTGAGTCAGACAAAAACAGAAATTAATCGCTTCGAATCTCATTAACAAAATAAATAAAATTATTTTATTTGAATCTATGCATATACTCATAAAATAATATAATACTGTATGAACGACGAGAATCTTATCAATTATTGCCAATTAGGGCCTTTATCAATAATTATTTGTTGATCGCGGTTGACACTTTAGAGGTTAGGTTCGGATGCGTTGCCTAACAACCAATACGCTTAGTTATATATTTAAAAATCACTGCTCGTATATTTAAACGTGTACGTACAATATGTAAATAACAATTAGTATGAATATTGTTATTTTGTGGTTGTACCTATTATAGTTATTATCGGGTGGGTGGTAACCTCTTGTTTGTTATCGACTAATTGTACATTCATACAATAACTATTATAGTGACTACACCACTACAAGGTTCCTTGCTGATATAGAGGCGGTCTAGCATATTATTACAATTTACAATTAATGTTTAAACATAATTTTTAATGTTGGATCGATAGCGGTTACAGGTTTACGGATAAAGGACATATTTTAAACTAAAAAAAGTAGTCTATAAAATAAAAATAAAAAATGTTTTCATAATATTTTACTAAGACCAAGATAAGTTTTGTACAAGTATTGCAAAATAAATTGAAATATTTTTCGTTGACTTGACGTTATATAAAACTAAGATGAGACCCTCCTACCCCATTTGTTCCAACTTGTACACTATCACGGTGGAATTTTATATATATTTAATAACATGAGGTGGAGACCTTTTTTTATTTGTATTTATTGTCATTTGCATTGAAAACAACTGTAAAAGTTCGATAGGATAAAAAGAAACCCATGGATAACGGAAATCATATATTTACAAACAAAATGACCCTTTTCGCTACAAGTTTGTATTGAAAATGAAATTATTATTATATCAAATAAAAGATACCCACGAATGTGATCTTTACAGAGTGCACACTATAAATGTTTATTTACCCTTCATGTTACATTTAGTATGGAATTTTAATTGAAAATGTAACATGAAATTTGAAAATCTTGTATTTATTAATGCGAAATTGTAATACTGTGCTCGTTTAACAAAAATAACGTTTTATTTTTACACGAGTTGTCTAAATGATCTTGTATATATTATAGACATCTCAAACAAATGTTATTTACTATTTTATAATTAATTCGTTGTATTAAGGTCTTCACAATTTTCTCATCCTCAACGAGGATTCATGAATATATGGAATCATACGAACTCATGGAAAATATATTACTTTTTCATAAAAAATGTATTTTTTTTTCATCCAGGCGTCGGAAATATAAAACTTTTATTAACATTTTTTTTCTAAGAATGAATAACATACACTTAGTTTGCGGAGTATTGCGATTCGATAAAATCTTTTTGTGGTCTTCCTATCACATAATGCATATTGGGCCGAAAAAAAATATATAAGTATATTTTCTAAAGTGAATTAATGGGAAAAAATATGAATGCCGAAAAAAGACGATCGTCGAAAATGTCAGCTTAGCAGTCACATATGGGTTCATTCTCAAAATTGTTTTTCTTTTTATATTCTGTTAACGCTTTTTTGCGGAAAACTCTATACCGAATGAACACTGCTGTCTCAATAAGAAGGTTTTAACTTCTTATTTGATACAATTTTAGCAATCACCATCCGCATTAAGAGAGTGATTTCTTTTTGAAATTATATATATATTTTGTACATACAAGCCAGATTTTTACAATGAGAAAATGTAAAATGATAAACCCTGAAAAGAGAATATAAAAAATTAGAAATTAGATAACAATAAAAATACAGAATGAGAGAAACTTACAAAAACAAAAAACTTAAGGCCATATAACATTAGTGGTATGTTTTTAGAACAGCCCTGAGTAAGGAAATGAAAATAAAAATGATAAATAGATTAAAAAATAACTAAAATATAATGACATAAAGGAGACAGATTCCCTCCTTGAGTCACTTCAGACGTTACCTTGAAAATATTAGGAGAAACACCAAACTAATTAACGAACAGCCCACTGTCTACAAAGAACTGAGTTGTATCGTTTTTATAGTTAACTTAATTATTTAATACTAAGTCTTTATAAGCACAAATGTATATTTTTTGATATTATTTTACATATTCTTAAATTTTTATTTTTATAATACAAACTTAAAAAAAAATGGCAGGTAGAAGTTACTAATTGTATTACTATTATACAGAGTATTTAAAATTGCATGACCCACCTAATATCTTGATGACATACTAAAATTATGAACAAATTACTAATATAAAACTTTTTGGTTTTTATCAAACAATAATAATTTAAAGTTTTTTAATTTATTTTTTATTCAGGAGCCAGATTTGGGAGGGAAGAGGGTTAAACTTCAATGGTAACGTTTACATAATTAGTTTTTTTATTAATTAAGAATAATATTCTGTACATTTTTACTGGTCGATAGCCAGTTTTGAGTAACTAATTTTAAAAGTTTAACATTTAAAACGGGAGGTAAAGTGTGGTTGAGTAATATGTACTTCACTCCACCCTTGCTCCCGTCTAAATGTTTAACTTTTAAAAGTAGTTATTCAAAACTAGTTATCGGTCAGTTAAAATGTCCAGGCAATTATTCTTTATTTAAAAAAACTAATAAAATATAATATACGTTACCATTGCTTAAAAAGTTTACCCTCTTTAATCTTGTTACCAAAGGGGAAAAAAGGACAATGACCTGAAAATGATAAAAACCAAAAAGGTTTTACATAGGTAATTTGTTAATAATTTTTGCATGTCATCACAAAATCAGATGGGCCATGTAATTTCCAATACCCTGTATAATAGTAATAAAATTAGTAACTTCTTCCTACCATTTAATTTTTAAATTTGTATTGTAAAATTAAAAATGTAAGAATATATATAATAATATCAAAAAATATATAGTTAACATTTGTGTTTATAAAGACTTATTATTAAATAATTAAGTTAACTATAAAAACGATACGTCTCAGCTACATAGGTAATTAAACTGAAATAATTTTGTAGATGTTTTATCATTATGTTTGATAATAACGTCTCGTCATTATGTCATTCCAAAAATCAATTTAAACTTACAACAAGCACGAGTAACAGGTAGATCCAAATTTTAACAGCTGTGCATAGACATCTACGGGAAATTATTTTATTTACCCAATACAAATTGCCATACTAATTACTATATATTTTAATCTACTAAAACAAAAACCGTGTAGCAGACTTAACGTTATCACAACGCCTCTTGTGCTAGTGTGCCGTGTATAGCGTTTACGAGCAAAGCAAATATGCCGGCCATTCGACCAGATAATGGGTTTTATGTGTCTGGTTCTCTAAACACTCGTAACGGTAAAATGTCATGTTTAATATATTAAAAGCAATATTTCGTTTGCCCCCCGCACGACCAACCGACTTTTATGCACCGAAATTGTTTTTTGCGCATAATATATTACTACCGGCGGCCGCACACTTTAAAAGCTGGGCGGATGCAATGTATTAGCGTTCACGAGGACTTCCAAGAAGGATGGTACAGGGTACACGTGCGGCGTTCGCCTACAAATCGGTGTATGTGTACTTAGGCGCTATTTGCCCTACTATATAGTTTATACAAGTCGAACCGTCGACGAGCGGGCTTGCATTGTACTTGTGTACACAGGGCAAACGATTTGTCGGAACGCCTGGCTCTGGGCGTTGCACATAAGAAAACCCAAAGGGAGAAAAAATACCGGTTAAAGAGTTGCGAAATATCAAAGGTTGTTAACGACGTAAGACGCCTATGCCACAGGTATTATAAGGCGAGTATATCGGTATAAAGGTCACACACACACACTTTGTGTCGATTTCCGAGATCTCTTTAACCGTCACCACCGCATAAACAAACCACGCTTGCGGGTTTACAGCCACGAACGGTGTAACTTCAGTTAAAACGACTTAAGGTAATTTTCGTTTGGTCAAACGATATTATAATCTACGGTTTACCATCGCTATAGACGCTCGTTTGGCAAATGGTTTCCCGGAATTTTCCCTATCGACTTAACGCTTCACCTACATCACAATAATTAAATAATAATACCAATAATTATTATTAGCGTCATCTCATACACAACGGACCTATTTTAGAGTTGTGTATAGTAAACCGGGGTTTTATTATCCACAATACAAATAGAAAACCGCATATAATTACATTGCAATGTAGGTAATATTGATATTAATTTTATTTTTACTATCTCTTTCGCTTTATAATCAAATTTTTATTATTATTAAAAGGTATGGACTATGAAGACATGAGATGGTTTCTTGATGAATTCGCTTTCCGGGACCGATTGTCGAACCAGTGAAAGTGAGCGCAAACACACTGCCGCCTTATCCACTCGGCCACTCCTCCACTCTTATTAAAAGGTATATCACATTAATTGTCATCACTCGTGTTGTTGTTGTTGACCACTCGTAACAATATCGTACTCGACTCATTTTGTTCAGTTTGGTACAATAT